CTCTTCTTCTCCCTCTCCCCATCTTTCTCTAGCTCTCACTCTTGCTCTACCTTGCACTCTATCCAAGTCCAAAGAGGTATAGGGGCTGTCGCCAGCTATGCAACCCCGTTCATAAGCCTCCATGATAGAGGTTATCCAGTCATGTGAAAGGCATTTACGGTGCCGTGAAGAAGACATTGAGCTCATGTGCTGTCGAGGTCGCCAGGAATAAAAACGACCCTGTCTACGTATGTACGAGGAACGCATAAGAACTCGACATGGGCATGGAGCCGCGCTCCAGCGAGCCTCAGCCCTCAGCCGTGCCTTCTCAGACGTAAACACGTTCGATGCATGAGATCACTGCCGGCCATTAGCGCTTATCGTAATTACCTCGACCGATAAAACTAATCAACCGCGCTCAATTAATTAGAGACGATTGAAATGCATTAGAGCAGGACTTTACTACTAATAGCTGTCGGTCATTTATTTTGCCGACACCAAGGGAACGGCTACATATTGGACAACGGCATGACTCAATAGGCATCTGCGTGGGGTTGAATGAATCACTTTAGTCAGAATCAGGATTGTTAAAAATATTAGTTATTTTGTTATTTCATGTCAAACTAGAAAATTTAGTGAAGAAAAAATGTAAACTATTGCTATGATGCACGGTGACAAATGCAATTAAACGGTCAATATCAGCAGACATGCATACAACAAATGTAAATAATTCAGAACACCAACGTTTCAAAATACAGACACACAAACGCATATGAAGGGGGTTAAAATCTCAGAATAGATTGATCCTTTTATAAGAAAAATCGCCGAAACATAATTGAAAAAGACATGTGTGAAACTAACTGCACTTTGTATAAGATTCACATCCCGCGCAATCAGAATACAAGATTCTGCTGATCTCTGCCGCTGTTCTGCTGTGATCATGACCCATTGCCAGTCGATTTTTGTCTGGTTCCGCCACGATGTGTCAATTAGATGTGATGAAAGGCAATTTATCAGATGCCAGTGAGTGGCGAGCAACTGACGCTGTATAATAGGATCAGACGATAAGCCCTCGTCCACACGACAAAGTCGCTTTTAACGAATCACTGTCAGCTGAGCAGATCGGTGTGGAATGATCAATGCATTATAGTGTCACTGCGTTTTCTGTGACATTTCCTCGCAATGATCTTAGGACTTAGAATGCTGCAATGATCAAAGTAGAAACAGCGTTTAAATAAAATATTGAAAATGATGATAAGCTGTTCTGCACAATAATTAAACTGTTTAGAAAGGTACGTCTAATTTTTTGAAGGTCAAACAAATGGTCAAATACAACAAAAAATAAATGTGAGCAATACAAGTCACACAAGGTAGGGTCTGACGAACAGCAGCAGAAAATCAGTGTCTTTTACTGGGAGGGGGGGGGGCGAGGGGGGAGAGGAAGAGAGCCATGTTGTGTCATCGTTGTCACATCCACGGATATGCCTACTGTCCTTACAGATAATAAGGTTCACTTTTCGACCTTGCATAGTTTACCTGTGCCTATCAAATCAAAACATTCAAACCACTTATGCGCCAGTATTTCTTTGACGTAGTCACTGGACCTTCTGACATGCACTCTGATATGTACAATAAACATTACCAATCGTTGAGTTTATTTGAGTGCGATATCAGTTAGGAATCTGGCGTTAACCCTATTCCTGGCGGGGGGGGGCCTCAGGAGCCCCCCCCTGAGGTTTTTTGGTTATTTCTCCCAAACGCGTTGAGCTAGGAAGCTCAACTTTTCTGACTTTTCCTAAAAGGCTTCTACGCAACATGTCTGAAAATTTTGAGTTGATCTGACCTCAGGTCAGGTCACCAGAGGCGGTTTGGTGACCCTACCTCAGAAAAGTTTGCAATCACGCCAGAGCTAGAGTTTTTGACCGACCAATTTCTTCTCTTCAGGCTTTAGTTAGGGTACCAGTATGTGCAATTTGTATATCTCGGAATTTTGATATCGGTGACCTAAGGTCAGGTCAGTTTCGCGACCTCCCCATTATAAGTCAATGGGGGAAAAATCAACTCCCTGTTTTTACCACTAAAACGGGTCGGAATGGCCCCATATACCATACATGACTTCATATACGATCAACCTTCACTACCTTGAGGTCTGTTTTGCTGTTGGGCAGCTGTGAGGTCATGTGACGTCATCAAAGGTCACCAAAGGTTTTTGGCCAATAACTCCGTACAGGAACAAGATACAGACGCGTGGATGGTCTCATTGTGTTCAGCTCGTCAAGACGCATCGAATGATATACATGATGACCTCGAGGTCACGTGACCTGAGGTCAACCTTTGACCTTGACCTTGCGAGGTCAACATATATATTATTCGATGCGGATTGACGAGAGGATCACGATGATGCCCTTAGTTTGTTCCTATCTTGACTAATTCGAAAGTTATTCGAGAAAAACTCTCTCCATATCTAGCGCCGCCATTTTGACTTTTTCGACCCCTGTGACGTCATCTTTGACCTGACCTGAAAATAACCTATGTAAAAATTGTAGATCTTGACCGTGCGTATCCGATGCCGTTTACCGTTTGTCGCTATCTTGCTTCGTTCTCGAGATCTCAGGGGGGGCCGAATCGGCCCCCCCGCCAGTTTCTTGTCCCGGCGGAGCCCGCCAGGAATAGGGTTAAAGGGCAGCTGGGCATGCACGTAGACACGTGGTGGACCGAAGTAGCAGGAGCAGTGCAATGTGGTCAATAGACGTTCATTTGCCCAACCAGTGAACATAAGCTGCAACACCTGCTGACTCGCAACGCGAATTAATAAATCATTAACCTTTTAGTGATAAGTCTATTAGATTTTTCGCCAGCGCACATTTTATTTTTGACTGGTGCGATTGGGACTGACCATGTAGCTTCTGAACTGGTCAATAGCTCCAGGCTTGAGCTGCTAAGCTGTTGAGAAGCTTAGCCGTGGAGCGACAGTCACGGATCATCCGAGTCTGACTTGTTGATCAGCCGGATCTGGGCAGCTCAGCCGTCGAGCTACTGAGTCCGAGCCGCTGAGTGGCTAAGCAGCCAGGTGTGAGACGCTCAGTCCTGTTCAGACAGACAGCCGGTGAGCGATGCGCGAGAGGCGTCCACCTTTGCCGAGAGCCGGCACCGCGGGCCGAGTTACGAGCCGGCCCCACCACCCGCTCTCGCCGACACCGAGCCGCCGAAAAAGGTGCGCCTGCGCCGCAAATATCTCAATCGGACGCGGCTGGCCGTAACTCAGCCGGCCTGGGGTTGCCGCCGGTGCCGGGGCCGGCGGACGGACACCCTCTCTGCAGAGGTGGCCGCTGCCGTGCCGCCGCCGGCCGCCGTGTCTGTGCCGACACCCGTCCGGACGGCCCACCTGACACCGCTGTCGTGTCCGCCTAATGATAAGTGCCGCGTAAAATTACCGCGCCGGCCGCCGACACCGGCCAGTCGGCTCTCTAATTCAGCGCCGAGGCCAGCGCTGCCAGTTGCCACACTCAAACTGTTATTAATTGCATTGGTCTTCACGCCTGGCAATTGCACAGCGCCGTCTGGCCCGACCTGAGGCTGCAGCGAGCGCCGGTGCCCGGAGGCGGCGGCGCTCCTCCGTCTTCCTCTCATAGTCTGGGAGGAGCCGGCCGGCGCGGTGCAAGATTACTTTACTACTCGGCGCGGTGGAGTGTGGAGGAGCTCCTACGTACTCCTCTCATAGTCTGGGAGGAGCCGGCCGGCCGGTGGAGTGTGGCGGAGCTCCTCCGTCCTCTCCTCATAGTGTGGGAGGAGCCGGCCGACGCGGAGGACTGTGGAGGAGCGCCTCCGTCCTCCTCTCATAGTTGGGGAGGAGTCGGCAGGTGGGCTGTGGCGGCGGCTCCTCCTGATCACAGACCTCCACTGAGCGCGCGGCCACAGCCCGCAGCCCACAGGACCGCAGCTGCCACAGCCCAGAGTCGCCTCACCACGGCCACACGACCTCAGTTTTGTCCCACCACAGCCACACGACCTCAAATTACGTGGGCCGCAGTCCCGCCCGACCGGCCACAACCCGACCCGACCGTGGCCCGTGCGGTCGGAGCCCGTATGGAGCGGCACAGACGGACCGAGTTTGTGACCCTTGGCGTTAGGTGTGCACATCTCCGCCCTGCAGCTTTCGCTTAGCTGAGCTGTGCTTAGCTCTTTGCGTGCTCTATAGGCTCGATACATCTTCAAGACATATGGTTCGTGGTGTTAAATGAACGTTTCCCTAATTAGACAATTTGTCTTCGCCGTGCCTTTTTACAAAATAATACCGATTCTTATCTGGGTAAATAGCACCGAATGTGCAATAAATGTCAAGCAAAATGAGATCACGACTTGATATTGTGTGACTTAAAATAAGTCCCGTGGGAATAATCCAAATTAAAGATGAGTAAGTAAATTTCATCTCTGCAATCGTGATAGCTGAGCCAAGAGGACACGTTAAGTAATGCAAATAGCTAGTTTTAGAGGTTACCCACCCTCACAGTGAAGACGCCAATGAAGGCGAGGGGCAAATGAGTGTGACATGGTGTCAATTGATGAGAAATAAGATGCATCTTTTATTCCGCTGATTTATCTTTTATTTTTTTTTTAAATAAATGAATATGTGATAGTAGAAGCTGATGTACCTCCAGGAGACCTTTCGTGGCCCTGAACAATGTGTTGCTAGCCGTGCACCGCCGGCTGTGTCGGTGTCACTGTCACTGTAGGTGTCGGTGTCGGTGTCACTGTCGGTGGCAAAGCAGGGGCGGGGGCGGGGGCGGGGGCGGGGGCGGGGGCGGATCCCGCCGAGGACTCGGCGGAACCTGTTGCCCAGAGATCACCGGTCTCCTCCCGCGCCAGAACGAGCCCGTTCCCGTGCAAATTGATATGGGCGAGAGAAGATGTTGCGCCATTACGGCCGGCCGTAACCTAAATCATGGCGGTCCTCTGTCGGCTTTATCTGGCAGTTTACAAAGAGCTACAGCGCTGCCGCACGGCGCGGCCACCCGACACCCGGAGAAGACCGAGCGACAGAAGACTCACAGGAGCACCGGCGACGGCAGGCGCGCAGCAGAGCTCCTTTCGACACTCCGTGCACGATAAGATAGCACACCGTGCTTTGTGTGATGACCTGAGGGGCTACATGCTGAAAGCGACTAACGCCTGTGGCTGTGTAGCGCCGTGTCAGGTGTGCCACTATCGGTGCGTTATCGGTGTTTGGACGTTAGCCCGCCGATAGGGAGTGTGAGTCAGGCCGGCAGCGATACACCGATAACGAGATTCGACGCTGTTCCGTCAGTTGGCCGACCGCTAGCCGTGCTTCGGGCGACGACAAACGCAGTGTCAACCGGCGCACGGAGGATTTTGGTGCAATAAGTGCGGATACAGGCGCCGTCCGCCATGCCCGGCAAGGGGAACTACGTGGGCCCCCAAGAGGAGACCATCGTCTGCCTCAAGTACACCATCTTCGCCTTCAACTTCCTGTCATGGGTGAGCCAGAGAGCGGGCGGGTGGGAACAAAGATGGCGGCGTGGTGGCCTCGCCCACTGGAAACGCCTGCCAGCTGATTTGTGCAGTGGCTTAATGATCATGTTGGCTACGCCGGTGCCAGTATATCGTTCCGTGTGTCAATATTAAATCATTTGAATTATATTACGGTGCCGTTTATCAGCAGGAGAGCGGTTTCTGCACCCCGCTCGAACACTGACTGCGCCAGCAACCTGGAGTCACTAACCGTGGCTTGATAAGATCGGAAACGAGCCATCTGCGAATAATACAAATCTTATCGGGCTCTAATGTCGAGTCTCAGCGGCACCATTTCTCCGATCCGCCATTCAGACACGGTTAATCGCGCTCCAGATGTTAACCCTCGCCGGCCGAGGGGGGGGGGGCGGGTGCCGCCCCCCCCATAGGGTTTTTTCGCGATAGCTCCGAACACGCTGGCGATAAAGAGCTGAAACTTGGCATACCTGACCTTTGATCCAAGCCGGATCTTTTGACACCAAACGCATTTTTGGGTCAGGTCAGGTCACTGACCTATGACGTCATAAGTGAACCTCTGCACGGTCTTCAGATGTCGCAACTTCGCAACGCCCTCACTGCCAGAGGAGATGTCACAGGGAAATGAAACTTGCAGGATCTAGTATCCATTATGAGTCTCACAACTTGTATATCTCGGATTTTTCCTAAAGGTCATATGAGGTCAGGTCATTTTCGTGACCTCACCATTATAACTAAGTCAATGGGGAAAAATGAAAACTGCTATTCTGGCGCCGGGAACGATTTCCAACTATCTCAAGCACACAGAATCGTGATTCTATGCACTCCTTGCAAGGTTAGATGCGTCACTTTTGCAATGTTGACCTTGCGTGACGTCATTTATGACGTCATCAAGGTCATATTAGTTTTTCGTCAATAACTCTTGATCAAATTGAGCTAGCGAGTCGGGAAAGCCACCAATGGACTCAGGAAGACCTGCCGAATCGAATGATATGCGACATGACCCCTTTCGACCAACTTCGTGACCTGGGGGTGCTGACCTGACCTTGACCTGAGGTCAACACCCCAAGTTGACCTAACCCGGACAAAAAGTATATCATTCGACGCGCCTGAGCGAGACGAACACGATGCTGCCAAAATCGGCGCTCTGTGGCCGTTTTTTGCGAAGTTGTTCACCAAAAACTGAACCGTACCTTGGGGCACTTGACCTGACCTCAGAGGTCACCGGTTGACCTAGGACCTTAAAATCGGGTACCAATCTCTGCGTCTCGTAACGGCGCACACGCTCGTTTTTTCCGCGACGCGCTAGCTCCACCAGGGGCGAAACGGCGAGGGGGGGGTCGTACCCGCCCCCCCCCCCCCTCGGCCGGCGCGTATGTAGAAAACCAATAGGTCCGGCGAGGGTTAAAAAAGCTCTCTCTCAGACAAAGACAAAGGGATGGCGCGGATTAAATAACTGCCACTTTCTTGCGAATACGAATGCTTCATTCGACGCCTTTGAGGCTGGTGTGAACTTTCTGACACCGGAGCGGCTTTGCTCGGCCCCGCGCCGCCTCAGTGCGGATTTCGCCGGCTCAGAGCTCGTCGGTCTTGGCTTCACCTGAATCGCCGCCAGTGATCCCCCATCAGACCCACCTCACAGCATGATCCGCAGTCGCTCCTCGTCCCGCTGGCTACACGAAACGGCACCCACCGCCCCGGATGCTGCCATTACAGCGCAGCGGAGACAAACTCAGCGGCGTCCGAGTCATTTCGCCGCCCCCGCCACCCCCGCAATACTAACTCGCCACATAGCCGGTGAATTCCGGTGCGGCTAACTGCGGTTTAATCAGCGACAGAAGACGGCAGTGCAGGATGAGAGCTGCGAGTCTCGGAGCTGGCACAGCTCGGTCTGCTGCATTACTGCGGGGCTGCTGCATAAGCGGATCTGCCACCGTCGCCGCCGAGAGGTCTGCCGCCGAGAACTGAAACTGAATCGGCAACTGAGACTGAGCAGACCAGCAGTGCTATCCTGGGCCGCAGCCGTGACAAATTCACCGGGAGAACGACAGCCGACCCATGCGGGTCACCCCCGGTCCCCGGGGTATCCGGTCGGAGGCTATTTCAGACTGCTGAGCTGGCTGGATCCGATCGGGGGGCTTTAGACGCCGTCACCCCACACAGCACCGAGCTATAGCACAGCATTCAGTTTTCAGAGGGAATAATAAAGATGTTGAGTCGCGTTCTCCTACCCACCCCCGAGGACTTTGTCATTCAGCTTCTCCGGAATAAACTTACTCGCACAAGGTGACACCAAGGTGTACCCGATGAGGTGTAACTTATTATGAGAAAGTGTTCCACGGAAAGGTTAGCTCTTGGTGCAGGATTGTTCTCTGGATCGGTAATCGCTACTCCTGTCGAGCCGGCCCCTTAGCACCAGGTCTTATGGCGGAACGTTGCCTTGCAGTCACCTGGCAGCTGTCAGAGCCGACAGCCGGCAACTCAGTGGACGTATCGGCTTAATTAAACTCTTCCCAAGGCCGCCTAACGATTCGACAGCTACCGTGACCGATGACAGAGCCGAGAGGGGACAGATGACAGGCATGACAGAGGCCTAAGCTGGTGAGGAGCATAACCGTAAATCCAACACAAGAAAACAATGAAACGTACCCGGCGACCACATAACCATTTTAAGCGCTGCTCGTCACAGCTCATCTTGTCATTATTTTGCTCAGTATTATTGAAACTGATAGCAGCCACCAGACAGATAGACTGATATATTTACAGATACATGCTCACCTACTTTGAAACATTCTTGGGCTTGGTCACGTCCCTAAAGTGAGATTCTATATCGTAGTCTAACAGCATGGCAATGAAGTTAAAAATGTCAGTCATGACTCACTGTCCCCAGAATGCATAATGCTTCTTTTAATATTAAAACATTTTCGAGTCTGTTACAACTTGAGACTGTAAAGAAGAAAACAGTGGGTCTCTGAATGCCAACCCAGTGTGATGTTGCCATATTGTGCTGTCGGAGCACAGTTGTTCGTTGGTAGTCTCGGTAAGTCGGTCTCATCCTGCCGCCCTTTCCGGCTGCGTTTCCGTGTCCCATCAGTGTGATCAGAGCTCCAATGGCCTCCCAAATGTCGACAAAACTCCCCGGTCCGGCGGGTGTTGAACAAAGTTGGACACGCTGAAGGTCGTGAGATGTGACGCCATTCTCAGCCATCCTGCTGTCAGCCACGAATCTCCCGGGGGCTGAGCTGTCGCGGCCGACCTCCCCGTTCAAAGGGCTCGCATGCCCCCGGCTCCCAACTTTGTGTTTGTTGGACCAATGAGCCGAGTACCACTCAGGTAACGAGAGAAGTTAGCGGAAATGCTGCCAGGCTGTTGGACATCGAGGGTCTGCTCTCCTTTGTTCAGAGGTCACTTCAGAAGTGCAGGCCGACTCAAAAGAGCGGCCCGACTCCAATCCGTGATTGAAAAATCAGGTTTCTTGACAAGTCTTAATGTCGTTTGGGATGTTTGGGCCGATGTTGAATGCCAATCGTGCGAACGCCGAGACCAGCTCTGGACACAACACCTCCCGAAGTCGAGCTTCCTGGGTCAGAGCTGGCACTGGCTGGGTGATCCAATTGTTGCAGGGTGAACGGGGCGCCGATCGATGCCGACTCGCCGGACGTGACCTGTGCGGCCGGTGGCGTGCCTCCTCGGCGATTGACTTCAATAACGTCTCCAGAGTGTCTGATACTGTCGGGAATGAGCCGGTCCTTCCGGGTTTGAGGAAAAAGTAGACCGCTGACAGAAGACGACGCTGCACCACTCTGCTGAAGTCCACTGCGCATTACATTTTGACATAAAATGTGTTGCTAGGAAGGGTCGGCATAAGAAATATGTAATGCTGCTGCAAATCGGGAAATGAAAGTTCGCTGTTACTTTGGTGGCCTTTGCATTATTTGGCAGAACAAATACTTTAGAGCAAAAGGGAAAATAGTTTTGATGTTTCATGATTGAATGTTGCGGTGAAAACTCTAAAACCGTGGATGGCAACACCAACGTCTAAAGAGCCCGTTCGAAACATGTAGAGTCGACCTAACAAGCTCCATTCAGCAGCGGATTCCGCCAAGAAAATTCCCCGGGAACTAACCAGGCCCATTTGCATCTGATGTTTGCATGCATTCAGTCATGCCATTGCTGACGCTCCTTCACTTTCTGCCTGCTTAGACTCACTCCCTTTCACTTAGTTTCGACGGTTCGTGCCTAAAGCTGCCCAGCTGGCATTGTTTCAGGGTGATCAATTGTGCTGATTTCGTAGTTCGTGAGTTGCATGCGTCTAATTACCCAGACTGTTTTAAATTTAGAGGCAGTTCACGGAGTAAACGGGAAGAAGCCACATTCCTTCATGTTATGAGAAATATTTTTTCCAACAAAATGCATGGACAGAGTTCTATTTTCATCAACATTTAACCCTATTAGTGGCAGGCTCCTGGCTACCCCCTATTAGTGGCAGGGGGGGGGGCTGTTTACGACCCCCCTTGATATCTCGAGATCTAACGGGCCGATTTTCAAAATTCAAACGGCATTCGATTTCGCTCAACGTGATCTACATTTCTAAAAAATAAAAATTAAAAAATGTCAATAGGGGGGGTAGAGGGGGGTAAAAACGGGCAAATTGCAGATACATTTTAGACTGTTTATCACGGCCAGGTTTCTGAACCAATCTTAACGCAACTTTTGCCGATCGATAGAGAATGAACCAGGAATTCACATGGATCCTAAAAATATGCATTTTCAAAAATCATAGGCGGATACAGATAATTGAGATTGGGGGTACACAAAAAGTATAGTAAATAAGGTTTTTGTTGGTACTGTTTCTAAAAAGGGTGGTAATGGTCTTGTTATGTTATAACTTTCTTATGAGAGAACGACTAAAATTGTATTGGTAATGCATAGGCGGTGTCAGGGCACCTATGTTGGGAGGTAAACCATGACCCCCCTTTTTGGACGCCTGGATCCGCCTATTATAGCAAAAACGTGTCAAAAGAGGATGCACAATAACTGTATATGTTATCACATGATACCTTTTATTCACTGTTCGTAAAACTGGTGCAGCATCGTAATCTTCGCCCAAATGACTCGCTTCACGAATAGGACCCCCAATTCCCAGTGCTCTGGAGCCGCCCCTGGTAAAGTTATTAACTTGAAATTTTCGGGGAATGTGCCCAATTTAGTTTTAGGAAAAGTCAGAAAATTTCAGCATCGTAGCTTCAGCGGTTTCGGAGATATTCCCGAAAAACCTGAGGGGTGGATAAAAACAACCCCCCCTGCCACTAATAGGGTTAATGATAATACCTCGTCCTTTTATGGCAACCATCCGACATTCATTATAACCCGATCGAACACAGCACAGGCCTGGACTTGAGCCGAAACATTTCGCCTCCAAGAGTTTCGGAGCGGGAAATTTTCAAAGCACTTTTTAAGCAAGGAAAGTACTCACAGAGGCATTTAAACAACGCATTGAGTTGTGAAAGGTAAGCGTTATGCCACCTTCCTTTTGAAAAAGATAACTTTTTTTAATGAAGTTTCTGAAAATTACTTACATTCACAAAAATATTGTAGTGGAATGGTAAAACGTGTCTTACCCACGGCTTCATGTAATGTGCAACGTTAAAATAGCATTTTATTTATAATATTAGCACCACTTTATGTATTTGTGCATTCGTAGAAACAACTATCGGCATGAGAGTGTCAGGTGTGCAATATTTCCCCGCATGCAAAACTCGCTGAACTAGCATTCCTTACTTCCTGTGGCATTCATTGTGCGGGCTGTTATGTGTCATTACAATATGGCACCACATAGAAAGAAAGAAACTCTAGACGTGTTCTTAAGCTGTTACAAACCACTGATATACTGTTACCAGTATGGTGATATACTGTTACCAGTATATCACCATGCAGGCAGTACCCGCTAATTAAATCAGAAAATCAGGAGTGCGCGGTGATATGCGGTCCCGTGACATGCACGGGGTACAAACAAAAATTACCATTACCCCTTGTGTAATGGCACGGCCCGTGCGCTGGAGCTCTGCTCCGGTGGTGCGGCCGTGCGTGACGGAAAGCCGTAACGTGATGAACTGGGCGCGTCACGGACCTCATAACTTAATTCGGGTAGTGCCAACTCATCGACGGCAGCAAGTATGTGCCAGTAGAGCGACGGAAGCGCAGCCGAGCTGTTCATGCGTGTACATAAGTCATGCATCTCACTTGCCGCTTGCAAAGAGGCATTACGCCGAATAGTTGTTCTCATATAGAGCTTCACCTATATAAGCATTGTGATGTCGAGCAATTTCGAATGAAAAATATGTCTAGACTTCGATACAAAAGAGGGCTTCGGTAGCTATACCAAATACAATTTTAACCTCTAGGCAGAAATCACTTATGTTCCGACAGATATATTATATTTCAGCGGGATGAAACAATTTAAAGATAAAATTCACACAAAAAACTTGGAACATGTGATTATTTACTTACTATACTTAGGCAGGGTGAACGCTTATTGCTCACTACCGCCATCGTTCTGCTTCCAATACCACCACGTTAATCATGAAGGCGCGAACTTCATCACACCCATTCACACTGCGATACTCTTCCTGTCGACAGCTGATGGGAGCCATCATTTTCGCCCTGGGCCTGTGGATACGGTTCGATGAGGACTTCCAGAAGTGGGTGAAGGGCCTGGGCATGCAGCACTACTGGACCGGCATCTACATCCTCATGTTCATCGGCCTGATCGTCATGGTGGTCAGCTTCTTCGGCTGCTGCGGCGTCATCACCGAGGCGCGCTGGATGCTCAAGGTCAGACGGACGGGATGGCTGAAAAGAGGAGGGTTCTCCAGCTTATTCCTAGCGGCTAGCATGGCCCGTCGTAATGACAACTTTGAACTAATTATGCTACAACTTGCATAAATTTACATTATATTGCAACCGTATTAACAAATTTAGATTGAAACTGGCTAGCTCCTTGCTTATATTCATCATATAATCGTTGTCATTTTTATGTTCTTCTTTTATGAGTTTGAATATCTCAAATACAATCAATGAAAGCAAATGGCAACGAATTTGCTGAGGCACCAAAAGTTTTCAAAATTACTAAGCTATTGTTGATTAAATTGCGATAAAAAGGACGATGTTATCTGTCATCACAGATCAGTCTCACAGTCTCCCCCCCCCCCGGCACCCCCAGGTATTTGTGCTGCTTCTGGCCGTCTGCTTCGTGTTCGAGATGGCCGGCGCCGCCTACACCCTCTCCAACGGCATCTACCACTCCAAGATATACCCGTGGCTACAGAACCAGCTGACGGGCATGGTGGCACGCTACTCCTACGACAAGGATGCACGCTGGGTGCTCGACATGATTCAGGTAACGTTGCGACTTGGGTTCGATTCCCGTCGCTGGCTGGTACTTTGCGACTAACGGTTTGAGTTTCACTGCTGAGGAAATGCAAATGCGGTTGAATTTAGATGCACAATGAAATTAATCAAGCGTACGTCGTTTTGTTCATCAGCGCTCAAATTGGAGCGTTTATGGTTATTTTCTCATTAAATTTTGTTGGTGCATTCATTTTCATCATTGTAATTTATTATTATTATCATTATCTCTCGTTCCTGGTAATTCGGCTCGGGTCATTGAGTGACGTCCACTGCTTTGATGTTGCGCCCGTCTTTTGCATGAAGTAGAATGTAAATGAATGACGCTGAAAACGCGGACCATTAATTATTTCGTTTCATGCGGTCAGAACCTGACGGCGCCACCGTTTATGATAAAGAGAATCGTCGTTTGCGTGTGATTCCGTCGTAACTCATCGTCCATGGCCCGTAAGTGGATTACATTATCAGTCGTCCGGCCGGTGAAGTGGTCTTTTTCCGCAGCGGGGCTCGCGTGTGCCCCACATTTCTGGCGCGTGTTTCTCCGAGGAGGAGGCCTGAGCGAATGCACATAAGCACCGCTTCCTTGGCACATATTTCACATTGAATTGGCCAGGATCAATACATTCCGTAGAGCAGTCGGAGAAATGGACTGCGCAGGCTCAACCGACAAAAGAAAGAAGTGGAAGATGATATTGCAATGATTTAAAAAGTCAGGTTTCTTGTTAGCGCTGCAGTCAAGCGTATCTCATTTAGAGGCATGTCAGTGATACTTAACCACTAAATAATCCTGGCTAAAGCCGTATAATCTATCACACACATTAAAGTTACATGACCCGACATGGCACGCGTTTGGTCTGGAGTTCGTCATGGTCGTCCAAATGTTTACATTCCCCTTGACACGGTGTGCGTTTGTTGTTAGGGAGCCCTCGAGTCCGGTCCCCGCGCGCTGACGAGGGCGGCGGTGTCCCTCGGCGTAGGCGTCCTACTAACCGTGGCCGGTTTACATTGACCAGTATCTCTGACACGCTCGCTGGCGGGCCGGTGGCTCCTAGGACGAGTGCGGTGCTAAGTGGCGGTACACACACCTCTACCGGTCACTGCTGGTGTCTGCTGCCTCACCCTCCGACCGTGCTCAAATCAATACACGCGCTGACGGCTGGCCGACTTCAATGGCCGCTGGGGACCCACACCTGCAGCGCGACGAACAAAAATCACACCGCCACTGCCCGGGCGGCCGCCACCTCCCGGTCGGTGCGCCAACGTTTTCATGCAACGATTTTCCAGCCTGGGGGAGCGCTCTACATATTTTCAAAACTGTAACAAAGGCCAACCTTTCGCTAAAATATGGATATTCGGCTAATTATTATTATTATTTAATACAGCTGCTTACATAATATACTTAAAATTTGCTTTCCTTTTAAAAGCATCTTTCAAGTCGTGAAAACGTAAGGCTTATACAAGTCCAGACGGAAAACAAGATAAGTCGAAGTTTACATTACTCGTTATGTTATTCAAGTCATTATTGCTTGTTTAATTTTTATTTGATTCATTGCTGCTATTGCCAGCTTTCGCAACATTATTTCAATTTATTTTCCCTTGTACTTATGAATGTAACGAAGTCTTAAGTTTTTTATATAACTGTATTACAGCTATCAAATCACTATCATATTCATGCCTCCCCTCTGTTGGAGCATGCTTCTTGCACCACCCGGCTCTCACCTGTCCTAGCAGTATCAAGTGTCTCAGATATGCCCTCACTCACGAACCCTGAAGGGTCGAGACACGGCTGACGCCCACCGGAATCGACACACGACACCTTGAGGAAGTCAGTCAGCACGATCGTGTGGGCGACTCGAAAGACATGCTACCCTACAGCAGCAGCCGCTATGCGTACTCAACTCAGATACCTACAAAATCAGACAGACGGGCCGACAGACAGACAGACAGACAGACAGACAGACAGACAGACAGACACACAGACAGACAGACAGACAGACAGACAGACAGACAGACAGACAGACAGACAGACAGACAGACAGACAGACAGACAGACAGACAGACAGACAGACAGACAGACAGATTGGAGGGCAGAGACTGAACCCATCCCATGATTTTTTTTTAATTCCTCCCCTTTTGTTGCAGGAGCTAACCTGACGTCCTTTGTGCTCTTTACCTCCCTCTAACACTTCTGTCCCCTCTCCTTTTTCAGGAGTACGTGGGTTGCTGCGGCGGGAACGGCTCGGGCGACTACCAGCAGTGGCATATTCCGACCCCCAACACGTGCCGCGACCCCATCCAGGGCAACGAGTGGGCCAACAGCTGCTCCCAGGAGATCACCTTCATGCTGCAGATCAAGACCGGATGGATCGCCGGCATCACGCTCTTCCTCTGCTTCTTCCAGATCCTCATGGTGCTGTTCGCCTTCTGCCTGCACTCGGCGCTGAAGTCGGAGGAGAAGAGCTATGCCAAGTAGATGGTGACAGAGTGAAGTCAGTCAGGACAATGTCTAACTTGCTTTGGGAGGTTTTGTGAGAGCTATTGAGTAGATACCGGTCATCTGACATTATGTAGGATAGTAGCATGACGCCAGAACGGTATATGTTCATGATTTATCCCTGAGGCAATCTGAAACCGGTTTTCTGTGGTGTTTTTCTGTGTGAAGTCTGTCCACCTTCAACTTTGAACCGATCAGGGCCGTGCAGTGACCTTCAAAGATCGATATCACTTATCAGTTATCATAAACGGACACTTTGTGCTTTTAGTTCGCGTAGGCAGTAGGCACCAAAATGGATATAGGCCGTAAATAATCAAAGTTGAGTCAGTTTAACAGCATTTGTTTGAGGCACACTATCTTTGTAAGGTAAATGGATAGCCAATGACCATCACGGATTCATTGAGCAATGAATGCTGCAACCCAATCATGCGACGAAGTTTTTCAGCGTCTCTTCGAACAAAGTTGCCCGGTCCTTCTCAGCCTTTGGCCATGCATAGAATGAACTTAAGGAATGACGCGCCTACCTGTATGACTTTGTGCCAAGGTACGGGAGGAAGCTAGAAGTGTACAAAAGGGCATCATCTTATATTATCTTTTAATTGCAAATGACGAAATAAAATATTCAATAGTTAATGAAAAGACGTTTACTTTTTACTCCATTTGATAAGCAAGTAGTGAACAAGATATTCAATGCATTGTGTTGTCCCGCTTTTTATTTGTTTTGTAAATATATTTGTACATAAGGAAACTTGTAGATTCTCATCTTTAGAAAAACAAGACGGGTCAACCAATCTTAGGTTCAAGACTTTTCCGTTCAGAGAAACAGAGACGGTCTCATACAGGGAACAAAGTCAGTCGATAAAGAAATCACGCTATCTGGACACCTCAGCAACTCTCCCATGTCCCGGACAGAACATGGACGCCCGACACTTTTGCAGAGTGCCGATTGGAACATGTTGATTTCATCTGTTCTCACGGTTTCCCGCGCGACCACTCACACGCTGCCGCGTAGAGCACGCTGTGCCCCCGACTCACGGCTAACTCAGATCAAAATGGCCGCGGTTCACCGTCCTGACGGCTGACACCATGGTGTTGCAACTTCCCGTGACGGCTCTGTCGGCGTCGTGATTGCCCCAGTGACGTCATTAACTATCAACGAGTAATGCCGCCACTATCAGATGCTGCCAAACATTTGTCATTGACAGCTACGGCGGCTCAACGCCCATAGTTTGTCACTGACGAGTCATCGATGATCGAATGCCTCGAGTGGGTGGTGAAATGACGTGGTTTATCGCGCTACCTTGATCGTGGAAAGAGCATATATTATGATGCGCTTTCGGGCGAATCTATTTGTTGCAGCATCAGCGAAAAACGCCATGTCTGAAGGCGGCGATTCATGTGCTGGAATATCAAGATGTCAGGCCCGCTGAGCTGAGCGAAATTCAACGGAATCAAATGACGCGAGATTCGGGGAAGACGGATGTTGTCTCTGTTCTTCAGAGGGATGTCTCCATTGTTATCGATTGATCCCATGGTTCGTGCACATCGGATCGCGTCACACCGTCACATACCGTGTCACACAGTCAGCCGTCACACAAAACGTCACGTGACGCACCCGTCACTCGGCAGAGACGGAGCGCGTTCAGGACCGACTGTGCCGTCGACTTCCGCTGTCTCCCCGGTGATTGATTCGTCACCTGAGTACCACCTTTTGGGTGTGACGACGGCGGCACAGCGAGCCCTTTGTGCCGGTTCACATCTGTCAGAACTCCGTCAAATGCCCGCCCCTGTCCCGCACGTCACACTCGCTGTGACGTGTCGACGGCCGTTTGTCAGACGGCGCCCGCCCCGTCGGAAACGTCGTCAGCCCGCCGCCGGAGACCGCCGCTACCGTGACCTGCTGTCGTGACCTGTCCCACGCCTCGGGCGGGGTCAACCCTAATGAAATTCGGGTCCTGTCGACTGCCGCACGTCGTCTGTGACGGGAGCGACTTTTAGAGAGGTGGCGACGGCAGCGCGCACGCCGGAATAAAGTGCGCCGTTTTTTGTGTTCTTCCGTCGTAGCGTCGGCGCTCCGACAGTGAACAGTTGGTTTTATGGTGCCGGCGGCGACACAGGCCTCGCCGAGCCGACTGCGAAGTGCGGCCAGCAGTTGTTTTGGAGCGAGTTTGTTTGCTCTTTGGGATGTTTTCGAGAAATGAGTGTGGTGGCCTAGAATACGCAAGAGATAGCAAATTCCTTTCAGTTATCCGGGCGCTATTTCGCCGGCAGCGCACCCGTCTGTTGTTTTCCCACCAGCCACTGCAAGTATCTAGATAAAGCCGAGTCGCCTGCAGTTTAATCCAGGGAGACGCATTGCTTCATTCAGACATACAGGGTGTTCCGAAAAAAGTGTCACAGTTTCAAACGTGTATTATAAACGCTTGACAAGTATTAACGCATTAAAACATACACCATATGAAAGCTCACGTTTGTCGTTTTTCAACAAGGTTACTCTCGTATCAGTGCTATAACTCCTTGCCAGAGGGCAGAGGAGTTCCTGCGATCACAAGTTTACGCGAACTTCTTGTAGTTCACGTTCTCGATATGGGCACCACCGCGGTTGAGACACGCCTTGATTCTGGCCTGGAAACTCTCAGCGACTTTCGTCAGAGTCTCGGGACCGACTTGATGCAGGTATCTTTCGACGTTCTGCTTAAGCTGGACCAGTGTCTTGGGCTTGCCTGCGTACACAGTGTCCTTGGCAGCCCCCCACAGCCAAAAGTCTAGCGGGTTGAGATCAGGGCTGTGGGGAGCCCACTCATGGGCGGTGCCGAGAGACATGAGGCGAGCGTTGAACAGCTCCTTAAGGCATTCGATACTCTCACGCGCAGTGTGAGGCGGAGCTCCGTCTTGCATGAACCATGCCTGTTGCAGTTGGTTATCGGTGAGCATATCGGTCAGATCCGCGTAGAATTCCCGGATGACCTCGCGGTAGCGCTCGCCATTGATGGTGACGGTCCGGCCATCTTCTTCGAACCAGTAGGGACCGAGGAGGCCGTGAGTGGCGTTGTAGGCCACGAAGGCAGTGACCTTCGGGCCCTTCAGCTGCTTCTCCGTTACTTCTTCCGGTGGTGAGTTACCCCAGAAAGTGTTGTTGTGGTTGTTCACCGCACCGTTCAGGTGGAAGTGAGCCTCGTCTGAGAACCAGACTCGGTTCACCCACCGCGCGTTCCTCTCCATCTTGTTGGAGATCCATTGACACATGACTTGCCGCTTTTGCCTGTCCCGATCCGTCATCTTATGTCTGGTGGATATTATGTACGATGACAGTTTTAGCTCGTCGCATAGGATGCGTCTTACGCTGGTTTTAGCAAGTCCGAGCTGTTGAGAGCGTCGACGGAGCGACTTCTTGGGACTGGCAATGACGGAATTTCGCACGGCCGCGATGGTCTCTGGGGACTTTGAAACCGATGCTGGCCTGCCGCTGCTGCCCCTGTGAGTATTCAGGACTGAACCTGTTGTCTCAAAATGGTTAACAAACCTTGCAATGAGTTTGTTGCAGGGCAGATCTCGAGTTTCCATGTCACACTCGCGTCGAAGTCGGCGGCGGACGGTGACGTACGATTTCGTCTCGAACCATAATCGGACGATTTTGATTTTTTGTTCTGGCGAGAAAACCATCGTAGATTTTGGTGAACCGTTTTGTCCACCAAAATCGACAAGGGTTGTGAGCAACATATCTTAAGCCAAACTATTTCGGACAATTTTTACGGAAATCGCACGTGACTAAAATCGTGACACTTTTTTCGGAACACCCGGTAAAGGCTCTGTTGTCATCGACAACAAACTTGGCGTGATGAGAGAATATTTCAGATATGAGGCTGTAAATCGACAGAACTTCACATTGATGTAGTTTTATGTGACGGCGCCGGCTTAGCGAGCCCCGAAGCAACTATATCAGCAAAGAAGATCGGATTTTATGAAATCGAAAGGCTGCCGATGTATTTAGTATCATCATGAGAAGCCACACTAACGACCGTTTTCAATTTCTAATGACAGTTATGGGGACTGAAGCTCAGATTTCGTGACGTTTCTTCTTAGATATGGTTATTGGTCTCCTCTCGATCGATCAACCAATGTGGTTTAAAGTTCACAGCTACCTACACTCATTGATATTCAACGCGACAAATTTACGAGTATAGTTGTCCATTGAACCATCATCTTAAATTCAATCATCCCCAAAATAAAACGATGTTTCTCTTGAATTATAGCGCATGTTCTGTTGATAAGGATATAAAGCAAAATATGGATCCTGTATTAACAGTTGACTGATTAGTGAGTAGGTACTATCAGCAAACTCCAACTGGTTGTTTTTCACCATGCATACATAACTTGTAAACGAGTGATCAGAGAGTAATATTGAGAGAGAGAGAGAGAGAGAGAGAGAGAGAGAGAGAGAGAGAGAGAGAGAGAGAGAGAGAGAGAGAGAGAGAGAGAGAGAGAGAGAGAGAGAGAGAGAGAGAGAGAGAGAGAGAGAGAGAGAGAGAGAGAGAGAGAGAGAGAGAGAGAGAGAGAGAGAGAGAGAGAGAGAGAGAGAGAGAGAGAGAGAGAGAGAGAGAGAGAGAGAGAGAGAGAGAGAGAGAGAGAGAGAGAGAGAGAGAGAGAGAGAGAGAGAGAGAGAGAGAGAGAGAGAGAGAGAGAGAGAGAGAATGGGTGAAATTGACATAAAGGCAGACCAGGCCAAAGCGGCTTGACAAAAATTTGAGTGTCACAAATCTCTAACTGAATAAAATGACCAGCCGACGGCCGCTGCCCCAACCGGAGCTCCATGCCCCCCCCTCTCTCCACCAATGCTCTGAGCTCGTCACCAGAACACCACCCGTGACGCTCGACAGCAGCGCTGCACCGCCGTCACCCCGCGAGTCTCGCCCCATACCTCACCCTCGGGCTGCGTAAAGGCCAACTGCGCGTGTCAAACTCCGTCTCAGGACCCGGCACATCCCTCACGAGTGTCATCCACGCGACGGGCACCCTCCCGGGAGAACGCATCCACTGCGCGAGCAGCGCTCTCCAGACGCACTTTTCCGAGCAATTTTACGAATTATCTAGGATCTATGGGTTAGTGTCTGGGGAGGCTGACTAGGATGGGACATCAGACGTCGCGGGTCAGACGCAGTCATGGCCCGAGGCGTGCTGGGGAGTCCCCAGGGAGACCGGCAGACGGCTCCGGGACAGGACGATATGGCGACCCGTTCACTGCAGCATACCAATCGCGATGTGACCCATGACGTCACAGGCGCCGCCGCCGCGTCCATTTAGGTGACGTGGCGCCCACTTACCTGATCCCTGAGGTCGTGAGCTGTGCTGGATAGCAAGTTATTTATGGTGACATTTTCTTAGAAGCTGTTGAATAAAATACCATTTTCCGTCGAATTCAGATCAGCAATACATACCTACAACTTCATCCAGTTCCGGTCATATATGCAGAGTTGTCCATAAGTAAAGCTGGTGAAGCCAAAGTTGTTTGCTTCTTGCGACCGTGTCGAATACCTATTCATAGCTTTTCAGCATTTTGTCTTCGTAAATATTTGCATCTTATGATACTGTACACTAAATGCAAATAAATAAAGGTAAAAATATCACCAACGCCGTTCAGTGAAGCTAGGAAAACGCCGAGTTGGGAAAAAGAAAAATAGTAAGCGCAAAGGCCGTAGTTTTGCCTTTGATGGACACCAGTCATCACGTAACAACAGCAGCGTGACAATG